AAATCAAACTATTCTTTAGTAAACAAAAAAAAAATAACACATGGTAGCTTTCAACTAAACTTTTTACCTAGAGATCAACTCCAGAAAAGTGATTCCATTTTTCTTTAATATAAACTGTTTATTGGCTTTCAGTTCATCTACAGCACACTAGTGCTTACATTCAAATTCACCCATTCCATTTGATTTTTTGATTGAAAGAAACGAATTTCAAGTAAGACAAACTGTTTATATCAACATGTCATTGTCATGTCCGGCTAAACTATGTATGACAAACTTGTCATCACTATAACCAGCATAAGTAGGCTAAACTATGTATGACAAACTTGTCATCACTATAACAAGCTTAACTATTTTTTTAGCAAACAAAAATTTGCACATGACACAGACCCACGTGACACCAATGTCAAGGACAGGCCTGACTCAAATGTCAAGGTCACACCTGACCACATAGGTCAACAAGCACATGACACAGACCCACATGACACTAATGTCAAGGACAGGCCTGACCACAACAAGCACATGACACAGACCCACATGACACTAATGTCAAGGACAGGCCTGGCTCAAATGTCAAGGGCACAGCTGGCCTAACTTACATCAAACTGAAAGAACTCAGCAACATAAATCAAACTATTCTTTAGTAAACAAAAAAAAAATAACACATGGTAGCTTTCAACTAAACTTTTTACCTAGAGATCAACTCCAGAAAAGTGATTCCATTTTTCTTTAATATAAACTGTTTATTGGCTTTCAGTTCATCTACAGCACACTAGTGCTTACATTCAAATTCACCCATTCCATTTGATTTTTTGATTGAAAGAAACGAATTTCAAGTAAGACAAACTGTTTATATCAACATGTCATTGTCATGTCCGGCTAAACTATGTATGACAAACTTGTCATCACTATAACCAGCATAAGTAGGCTAAACTATGTATGACAAACTTGTCATCACTATAACAAGCTTAACTATTTTTTTAGCAAACAAAAATTTGAAAAAGTTTTATTCACAGCTTTATATGAAAGGTGTATTTAAAATTTTTTGTCACAATGATGCATGAATAGATAAATTCCTAAACAGTAATTCCTATAAAGTAAAAGTAACTGTAAAGCAGTATATGAAGTAAAATAATTGCACATTTGTAAAATACGATGTTGTGTGTGTTTGTTTTTATGTAAACATGCATGAGATTTTTATTTTCTAGAAAAAAAAAATTCAAGATTACTTCACTTAATAAAAAAGTAAATATTTGTAAAAATATTTTAAGAAAAAAAAAAAGGACTTATTTTTACATTAATATAGTGTAAAAAAATTAATTTTACAATAAAACAAATGTAACATGAACACTTAAAGTAACAAATATAGCACAGCCAGAAGTTTTCAACACCCTGTGAGGGTATTGAGACAAACTAAAAGAAACAAGTTTTTTTCCTAATCTGCAAATGAACATTGTTTTACATTTGTGCGTACAAGAACTTTAAGTTCATTATGAGCACTTCTAATGAACTGTTAATTACATGACAAAATTTTGAACAAAAAATCTGGCAGTTGACATATAAAAAAAGTTAAAAAATAAATAAAAAAAAACAACCAAATGAAGTGGATACTAAACCTTTAAAACTATAACGCAGGACAAATCATGATCATTATGATGGTGATAAGGTAATGATGAGTGGGTTTGACTCTCCACTGACGGAAACCAGATTTGGCACTGAATGTCAAGCCAAACAGCCACAATGAGGAATGCTAATGACAAACAAAAATGGAGGTAGATGTCATGGATTGTGATTTATGCATGGAGGTAGCAACAAATGGATGACAATGTTGAATTAAAATTACACAATTATTAATAGCAATGCAGGAAAATGTAAAAAAAAAATATTTCAAAGTCCTCACTAAAGTTAAACCCCAGGAATCAGGTATAGTGTAATTGTATATAGTGAGTATTTCAATACAAGTTATGAAGAAAACAACTAACTTGTAAGAACTGTGCAATTAGAAAATGATCCAAGTCGGTAAGTTTGAAGACAATCATTGTTAAACAAATATACAAATATATTAATATCTGTACACCTTCAGATGCTGTTTTGAAAGATATGTACATACCATACAATATTTTCCTCACACAAAAAAAAATTCTCTTTATTTAAGTGGTTTTCGTGAGCCTACTCTTGAAACAATACAAGACTTAGGAGAGGTCTATAACTGATATCACACTGAAGGAGAGAAGGGACTGGATGTTTCTTGTGATGTGTGGATGGTGGATGGGGATTTTTAAAAATAAACAAGTTTTTGAAAGTGAATTTTTACAATTATTTCACAGTGTCAAAGGATGAAAACATAAACAAAAAGATCAATATTATACTAATCTTGATCCAACTCAGTGTTTAATTTAGAAAGGAATTCCTGTTTTAAAAAACACCTTTTTAAGTGGGGTTGGGTGTGGAAAAGAGGGGCTAAAATAGTTTGAAGAGGGACATTATTTTAGGAGTGGGTGAGGTTTGATTGTAAATGACTTGGGGTAGAAGTGGGCTGGGGATAATTTTAAAAAGTAGATAAACAAGCATGATGTCATTTACAGACCACCCTTGAAACAGGTTTCAAAATGTGTACATCAATTGAATTTTGAAAATGGATTTCATAAGACTAACCTGACATTTCAGTGTTAAAAAAAAACTGTTGGACTTACTGCCATTAAAGTACCTATCCTAGCCTGTTGTAGAGCACAACAGAGCTAATTTATATTACCCTGACTTACACCAGGTGCTCTTGAGAGCTGGGAGAAAAGGGGTGGGTGGGAATTGACCACCCCTCCTTAAATAATTACAGATATCAACTATCTTGATAGAATTGTTCTTTACAAATATCAACTATCTTGATAGAATTGTTTATTACAAATATCAACTATCTTGACAGAATTGTTCATTACAAATATCAACTATCGATAGAATTGTTTATTACAAATATCAACTATCTTGACAGAATTGTTCATTACAAATATCAACTATCTTGACAGAATTGTTTATTACAAATATCAACTATCTTGATAGAATTGTTGATTACAAATATCAACTACCTTGATGTTCATGCACTTGTGAACAAGAAATTTTAGCTTGGTTGGATTAACGCATGTACATCACTTTACATACTGCGTATACAATTTCTGTAAATTAGTTAATAAAACAAACAACCAATTGCCTATATATAACAATAAAGTTCTGATAAACAGAGACCAACAAGCTTTGCTCTAAATTCCACTCAGCATATATTCAATAAAACCATAATGATAGCCTTAAAAATAATAAACATGTAAAACAACTTACTTACGGTGGGACCAATAGTACTGAGCATTAGATATACATTCTCTAACAGGTTGAAAGTAACAATGACCAGATGATTTGAATTACATCCTTTCAAGTAAACAGAAGTCTCATTTTTTGCAAGCTAAATAGCAGGAGCACAAATAAACATCCAGTCCACATTTAAGCCAAATGTAAACATCCAGCCCATGTTTAAGATGAATAAGAACATCCAGTCCATGTTTATTAAATCTAAATGTAAAAATCCAGTCCTTATTAAAACAGGATGTAGCCTGATTGGGACTGAGCACACATAAAAAAAAAAAAGATAAAATTTAATAATTTTATTGCACCAATAAAAATTGAAATGTGCATCTGAAAGAGAAAAAAAAATTAAAAATAGTTTCCCTACAAAATGCTACACACTGTGTTAAATACATGGACAGGATGCAACATTTGGTAAGAAAGTCGTAAAAAATTGTACACAATTGAAAAGAGGGTTTTATAATTACTCAATGGAAATATTTAAGTAGGCATATTTAGCGCAAATCTTTGTTTATAAATATTCAAGTACAATATCATTTCACAGTATTCACAAAAAAAAAAAACCAGGAAATATCAATCAATTGTAAAGTAAATGTATGTTCATAGAGCTAAACTTTCACAAATGCATAAAAATATATTTTTAAAAAAACATGGTTTGAATGATCTGTATGAGCATACATCCTCATATTAAATATATTACATCTCAAGACATATATATATATATATAAATATCATGTTTCATTTATAATATAAAATGAAAAAAAAAACAAAGATCTCTTAAATAACTTTAATAAAATATCTTACTGAATGACTTTTAGCATGTGAAAATAGACATGCTATTTTAAAAATCTAATTGAATGTATTGTCTGCTTAGTTTTCATGTACAAGCAAATTGCATCTGTAGTTTCTGGTACAACACAACCAGCAATAAGCATAGAGTGATTCAAGGACTTTTTTAAGGAGGAGAAGAAAGAGGAAAAATTTTAAAATTTAGTTAAACATTTTATACAAGCAAACATTTTTCAGCCCCGTCAGATTTTACTTCATCAAATGGTTTCTCTGGTGTGCTTTTGTACAATTTATGTAATGATTAAATCGTGTGTGCTTGTATATATGTCTTTATGTATATACATATACATTTATGTATATGGGCTCCTTATGTATGATGTTTATGTGTATTTATACTAATTAATGGCTAAATTTAATAGTTATCTGCTAAACTACATGTTCAATCAAGTGTAAACTTAAGTGTATAATACATAAATATCTATATGAAAATCTTGCTATGATATAAAGTACATAGTGAGTTGTTTTTAAAATTTTACGCTTGCTTATTTTTAGCATATGAAGTTTTGTCCTTATTTTCACACACCACTACACGCTTAAGTGCCAATGTACATATTGATTATTTGTTGCTCAGACATGTTTGCTTGCATAAGCTGTTTAACATCTTCAGATATGAACCCATGTAGTGTACTTCAAGCAACAGTTGGACAACTGGAATCTTGGCTAGGCTGGGAAAACACAGGCTTGGACAGGGCAGACACACAGTGCACTAACACGACGACGCACTGGTTGCACTAACACGACGACGCACTGGTTGCACTAACACGACGACGCACTGGTTGCACTAACACGACGACGCACTGGTTGCACTAACACGACGACGCACTGGTTCTACGACGAATGTTTGCAGACTTCTGAGTCAGGACAGGGGGGGTAATCCTAGTGGTGAGAGCTGAGCCGAGACACAAATGGGAGGGTGCAGAAAGCCCACCTGGCAACTGGAAAAGTACAGTCCCCACGCTGGCCAGCCCGTCCTCTGTTGGCTCAATGGCTATGGGTATCACTCGCAGCTCTCTGGGAGGGGGCAGGCTGGCCAAGGTGTTGATGTCATTGTTGTTGTAATACTGATTCCGGTTGTGGTAGCGGTTGAGCCTCGACCGGCGCCTGATCAGTCCAGAAGAGAGAGGGAGATAGAGAGGTTCGTCGTGCTCCACCAGGACGAGAATCTTGGCAAACGGCCTCGAGGCCATGCACTCCATCTCCCTTTCCCTCATCTGTCTAGACCTGCGAGCGTCGAATGTCTGCTTCATTTTCCACAACATGACGCAGACTGCAAGGAAGAGGAAGAAGCAGGAGAAAAACACGGAAAAGAAGACGAACAGGTCGATATGTGGCTGGTCCTGCCTGAAGTACAGATTCCCGTACGTGGTGTTCTCTGATCCGCCCCCGCGAGACCTGACGATGATGTAAAACCGCGACGAGCGCAGGTCATGTTGGTCCCGGGGCAGGGTTATGACCAGGCGGAACCTAACGTCTCTCACCACCAACACACTGTTCTGCTGACCCACGGTTATGTACGTGTTTAACTCCCCCGCATCGATCTCCCCTATTTTGATGCTGTTCCCCATCCCTAGAAATTTACCCTCTTTTTTAGCATCAGTCACAATTGTGTTCCTACGCAGCCGTCTCAGAGCCGCCAGACTCTTCGACTGGCTCATGAAACTTGGTGTAGGAAGCCAAGTCTCATTGGCTGCGTTCTTCTTAAAATGGCTGTACTGCAACTTGTGAGCATGGTCCAGCATAAAACCTTGCCAATGGCCAAAGCTGTGCCTTCTGTTCTCATGGGCTGGGAAATTCTTCGGGAACTTGTGACCGGCCTTAACTTTCGGATTCTTCTTTTCTGGTTTCTTGGGACCTCTTTTGTCATCGTTCTCAAAATCATCATCATCCTTGTTGATAAGACCATCATCTCTACCCACCCCAGTTCTGTGACTTTTTAAAACACCGCCTTTATACTCCTTCTTCCATTCTTTAGTACCTGATGTCTCCAAGCTCTCAAACTGTGACATGTGGTAGAACCCAGAGTCTGTGTCCTGCAGCTTGATAAACTCTGGCACGCTGTAAGTTATGGGGACAGACTCTGTGTCCTCAAGCTGATGCAGCGTGGCCTCGTCGTCAGGGTAATCAACACCCAAGTCATCTTTGATGCTGCGACGACTCAGGCCCCCTCGACCAGCTGGGTAGTTTTTATCCAAGAAAATGTTATGCATCCTGTAGGTTTCATCATTGAAGACTTGAAAGGTATCTTTTTTGTTGGACAAAAACACATCCGCACCTGAAAGCAACAAAAAAAAATTTTTTTAAGTTTAACAGTAAAATCTATGTACAAATATTTATGAATTGGACAAATGACAGTTGTAAGGGTTTCAGCCTATATATTTTAAACCAATTTTTTCAAACGTATTACTTAAACCATTTTTTTTATGGCTTTGCATATCAGTGTATGTACAGTAACAATAAAAACAACATTGTAGAAACTCAACAGAAAATTAAATTTTTAAATAATAACTATTGTTTGTTAGCTATTTATGTAAAGACAAACAAAACAAAAATTAAAAATAAAATTATCTGTGTAATTTCTGATAGGTGCAGTACAGCAAGATATTAAACTTAATTTGTCAAGGTATTAAAATTTAATGCTGGACAGATATTGAAACAAATCTATTAAAATAAAGTTTCTGATACTAACTTCCCATTGTGACATCAATAGTGATGCGAATATCCACATTGAGGTATTTAGGCTGGACAGCAAAAAAGACAGTTTTCCCATTGAGAAGAGGCTTGGGGAACTGGTTGCAGTTGTTCTGTGTGTCGGGATCAAAGCAGTAGTCCCTGTCCACATTCATCTGTCTGTAACACTGATGGCCATTGGTTGGTGTGCCCAGGAAGTATTCTTTGCAATTTGCACACTGGGGATGGGATGAAAAGAGATCTAATTAATTGAAAATTTCTAGATTTTTTGCAACAGTTGTGCTAAGACAAATCCAGATTTACTTAGACATTTAATGTAACCTGTACAAATAGAATTTTATTGATTGAAGAGCTCCTGATTTCTAAAATCTTCAAAGACAATACCAGGTTTAATCAAAGCCAGTACAGCTAGACCTCAGCGGCATAATAAACCCAACTAATTTAATTGGCTTGTTGAGTCAGGTAAAGTAAGGGCAATCTGCACAGAAACAGATCTAGAGAGAAGAATTGACTTGATTACTCTATGAACTAAAGACAAAGTAAACTTGAATGTTACCTGAACTTGCCAACATTCTAGGTCATTGTTGTCTTTGGTCTCACAGGCTGTTTCTGTGTTATTTTTACACTGGCAGTTTTCTCCAGTGTCAGCATTACACACATTACTGTGGCCATTACACTCACACCTGGGTAGTATAATATTAGCACTTAAATGATGTGGAAAAGTTTGCTAGAGTAACAATATTTTCTTTTATTAACTACAGACTTTACAGATGAACATATTTTTAAAACATTTTAATATGCAAACAAGAATAAACATAGTTAAGAGTGGAAAGGATAAATTAATTTATTAAGATTAAGTTTAAAATTATATCACAGTCTTATATGCATTATAGAATATACAGTTATAGAATATTAGGAAATAAGGCTGTTATGTCCTATTGAAATGTTTACCACAATCAGCTATCAATTTTTTATTTTATCCCACAATTTGAGTGAGCTGAGCATTTTAAATAAAGAATTCTACCACCTTCAAGGTAAACTTGTAACATTTACCACACAATTTGAGTGAGCTGAGCATTTTAAATAAAGAATTCTACCACCTTCAAGGTAAACTTGTAACATTTATCACACAATTTAAGTGAGCTGAGCATTTTAAATAAAGAATTCTACCACCTTCAAGGTAAACTTGCAACATTTACCACACAATTTGAGTGAGCTGAGCATTTTAAATAAAGAATTCTACCACCTTCAAAGTAAGCTTGTAACATTTACCACACAATTTGAGTGAGCTGAGCATTTTAAATAAAGAATTCTACCACCTTCAAGGTAAACTTGCAACATTTACCACACAATTTGAGTGAGCTGAGCATTTTAAATAAAGAATTCTACCACCTTCAAGGTAAACTTGCAACATTTACCACACAATTTGAGTGAGCTGAGCATTTTAAATAAAGAATTCTACCACCTTCAAGGTAAACTTGTAACATTTATCACATCAAGGTGAGTACTCACTCAGTGCAGGGGCTGGTCTTGGGTTGAGTACTTTTACGGAAGTGTCCACTAATGCACATGTCACATCGAGTGCCAGTTGTGTTGTGTTGGCAGTTGTAGCACTGGGCTTGCTTCATGTTGGAGCCTTGTAAGGTCTGGTGGGGGAAGTGAAGTAAAGGAGAATACAATGATTTAGAATCTTTATATTGGTGTGAAAATATTTTTTATGACAAAAATAAAATAAAACCAACTTACTGCCCATGCAGTGACAGCCGATAAATTGTTTTGATCAGGTGTTTTACAGTCGTTGGTGTGATTGTTGCAGAACTCCCAGCAAGGTATGCACCGGCCACCATTTTCAGGGCTACCCACAAAGCCAGGCAGGCATCTGTCACACTTCTCTCCCTGTACAATGAAAACAACAAACTTAGGTCAAGGTGCAAGTTCATGACATGGTCTGGATGAAAAAACATGCACTTGCTGTAGTCACAAGTTAGGGTACCCAGCTCCCCCACATGCCAACCAGGTGGTGCGATGCAACATGGAAAATAAAAATCCTGGCAGAAATACATGGGTATAGTGGCTAGTAACATGGATGTAAGAAATGCTCTGTTATCCTGGTATGGTCTAACTAACTTAAAAAAAAATCAGGTCAAGATGTTTAAAACCAAGAAGGTTGTCTTTATCTACTTCATTCTAATTTCCGCATATAGTTTTTAAGTCATCTGTCATAGTATACCTATATCCTGAAATCTGAACCATAATAATGTGGAAAGGTTTTTTATTAACAATTTCTTTATTCTAGTTCTTTAATATATAAAATTAAAATGTAACCAGAAAATGGTCATATTTAGTTTTTGCTCATATTGTTTTGTGTGAGGCTACACACACAGACTTTTACACACATTTAAAGGTAGCCCCCAACATGCTGGTCTTGTAAACAAGGCAGTTCTTAATAACAATATTACAAAAGTAAAAAGATTAACAATCAAAGTAGTGACAGATGGTACTCATTTCTGTCTTTGCTTTCTACAAAGTGAAAAAAAAAATCAATAATCAATGTTTTTTGTGTGTGTGTCAAGAATTATGCATGCATAGAAATCAATACTTGAAACAAGCATGAATTATTTTGTTTTAGGAAAAAAGCTTGTAACTGTGAGACTTTTAGTTACCTTATTTAATTTGAGATGGGTGCAAAGCCCTATGAGCTTACCGTAGTGTTGTTTTCACACTTGAGGCACGTGCTGGTCTCCGTGACACTCTTACAGTTGCTGTGCTTGTTACACAAACACTCCACGGAACAGTTCTTGCCCACATAGCCAAAGTCACACTGGCAGTGTTCAGGCTTGACGCAGGACCCTTTCACACACCCCTGGTGACACACTGGTTCACATTTTCTGAGGAAATTGTTACTTACTTTTTATTTCTTGGTTTTTTTTATTATATCTAGTTGGAAAAATATTTCTAAATTATTATTTACTTTCATTTTTATCCTTCATTTTCCAAGTCAAATGAAAACAGATTACAAATGAAAAAATAAGCTTTATTATATAGGCCTACGTTAATATTGGCTGAATCTTTACACAATATTAAATCACTATATAGCAGGGGAGCTTGTTTACTTGAATGAGGTAGGCCTATTTTAAAAAGATGGATAGGACATATTCTAGGCTAATTTTTCTAATTAGTCTCACTACACCAAACTTATCACTGACACTATTGTTAATCCTAAACCTGTCCAATAACAAACAACACCTCTAAACAAACTTGAAGCGTGTGCCTATATAAGAACAAAAAAAATTAAAAAAAAAACAAAACAAAACAAAAGCCACTCACCTTGAAGACTTAATCAAGACATAACCCTTTTTACATTCACACTTGAAGTGCTCCAGCGTGTCGTGACAGTCCTCTGTGTTGTTGTTACACGTGTGGTGGTTGTTCATGCACTCGTTCTCAGGCTGGCACTTGTCATACGACCAGATCTTTATATGAGCAGATTTGTGCTGGTCTGGTTTGTCATTTCTTTCAACTGAAATTTTGTCATTTTATATTATATAACTTCAACATTATCTGAAACTTTACAAGGAAATTTTTTCCCCCTTGATATATGAGAACAATAGCTTTCAGTGAGGATGTGGACTGCGATGGTGTGGTCATGTGGGATAGCAAAAAAAAGTTTTGGCATAACCTAAAAGTGTTGTTAAGTTCATAGGTCAGTGTCTAGCAAGTTTACACAGTTCTGATGTGGCCTGACACATCCTAGGAAGTAAAGGCTGCCATTCATGATGCTGACCACAGTAGCTTTACACATACAGTTATTTTTTAATTTTTAACCCAACCAGACCCATGGCAATAAACCTAACTGTCCTTTTTACCAGAGCTTCTAATCAGCAAAAAAAAAAAAACAACCAGATTTGCCCATGACTGTTTTTGTTTTACAGTTTGTGATTCAGTTTTTAAATTTCCAGGCAAAGGACTGAAAATCTAGTACACCATTATAGAGACAGATAGGGAAATTACCCAGAGTTAAAAATATAAAATTAAACATGAAATTAGCATTTAAATCCATGAAAAGAATAACACAGAAGTGAATTAAGTCCATAGAGTTTGACACACTGTAAGAAAATTATCTGTACAACTTTAAGTTATAAAAAAAATATCCTACTCTTGAAGTGGTCATGTGAGAAGTCATCAGATGCCACCAAATTGGCCCCTCCATCTGAGCAAGCCATCCTGTGAGTTGGTCCAAGAATCCCACCTGGCAAACACTCCCCATGGCCATTGTGGCCTCCATAGGCGCACCAGCCACAATCAGGGGAAGCTATGCAGTCAGCACACTTGTGGTGGGTGGTGCATGGGATGGGACAGGTGTGCTCCTCCTTAGAGCGCACAAAGTGGCACTCACCAAGTGTACAGCGCAAGGGGAAGTAAGCTGGTGCCATGCACTGAAATAAATTTATTAAAAAGCCCATTCATATTCCAGTCCACTATTTCAATTGAATGTTTACCAATGTCAAGAGGTGATATCCACACAACTTAATTTTTTTTGTTTTGTGGCTAAGTTTACCAACATCACTAAGGGGGGTTAATAAAACACTTTATTAAATGGGTATGCTTATTTCCCTGTTTAATTCCCAGGTCTTTGCTGGGATTACCCAAGGAGGTCTAAAAAGAAAGCATGGAAAAGTACTTACCTCTTGAAGTGCCTCACTCCACAAACACTCCTTTGAGGCACCTTCACTACCAGTAGATTCCAGACATTCTTTACATGTTTTGTATTCAAAGCATCGGACTGGACAGCTCTTGGGTGGGGCTGAATCAAACAGCGTGGTCCCACTAGCTGGCTGCTTTATTAAATGTGACACACAGTTCCAGTTAAAGATACCTTGAGTGTTGAAGTAGCGGCCAATTTCAGCTATTTTTTTTTTTGTGGGAAGAAAAACAAACAAAAATCAAAATAAAGCATTTAGAATAAGCTGATTAAGATCTACATGCTTGTTTGGTTTCATCAAAGTTATGGAAAGATAACTGAAATATATTTTAAATTTATATTTCTGTTGCCAAATATGAAAGAAAAAGTTGATCTTTTAATATAATTAAGTGATATGTTGAACTGGTGTGTTGCAGTTTATAATGTTCAAATGGAAGCTACCTTGTGACTGAGTCACAGAAATACTTAAAGCAGGCTCATAAGTATTGTTATGATTTAGAATAAGTTAGCTAAACATAAAATGCATCATTATAAAAATATAAATACCAAATGTTCTAATGAAAAATTTAACACAATTCTTTTATGAACTGATACAATTTTTTTTAAAATAGGTAACAAAATGTATTGAAAAATTAGAAACTGAACACATATCTAGCCACCTAAAAATAAAAAGGAAAATCTTTTTCGGAGATTGAAACACTGTGCATAGCCAGATTTCCATTAACACTTCATGCATTTTCAAGGCTGAAAAATATCACTTTTTAATGTAAAAATTCCTCAAATAGAAATTAGAAAAGTTATATCTCTGTAGAACACAATTACCATCTTTAAACACATCTTTAAAAAACAATATTTTCCTTACTCCTACACACTTTAAAAAAGTAAAAATAATGCATTAAAAAACCAAGAAGCCAGCACTTACTTGATCTTTGGAAGTGCCTACTCCACAGACATTTAGAATCCTTGATACACTTCTCACAGTCAGATGCTGCGCACTGGTTCTCAAAACAGTTGTGGGCACTGTCAATAGTGCTGGAGTCAGATATGGGGCACAGCTTTTGGGATGGGCATGTCTCCTTGGGATAAATACAGCTGCCAGTAGGGCAGTTGCTACACCAAATACACTTCTGAAATACAGTGACATAGGAAAATCAATACTGTGTAACCAACTTTTTTTTATAAAGGGATGGTATTTAAAATCGATCAAAAACAAACTTACATCATCTTCAAATTTAGGGTTTTTGTCTTTACCATCCTGAGTTTCTCTACTTTTAGGGTAAGAAGACACACATTGGCTGCATGTACGGTAGCGATGACACCTTCGTTTTCTTGCACTTTTGCAGCGCTTTTCTTCAGCATGTTGAGCATTGCAACTAAAAAAAAAATAGACATTAATGACTAAAATCCTGCAACAAATAAAATAAACTGTGGACCCTCATAATACATTTTATTATAAGACTAAAAATTAAAACGTTTTAAGGTATGGCATGAATGATGTGCTTAAAATTAAATTGAGAAGATAAATGCGTCAGTTAATACCCCACCAGTATAGCCAATGCAAAGTTCTAACATGGGTAATTTGAGAGTCTTTTCTGCTGACCCAGGAAACTTTGTACTGTATTGATCCAGGAAACAATCAATAGAAAGTACTGAACCATGGAATTATGTACTGAACAGGAAACTATGTACTAACCCATGGAAACTGATTGTCATCCCATCAATATAAAGTACTGACCCCGGAAACTTGTAGTCCTTGTTCACATCAAAGCACACTGTCCTGTTCTCTCCAGTCTCTGAGCCCACTGTGCACACCTGGCATCCAGAGATGTTGCTGCACATGATGGGGTCCTTGATGTGGAAGCACAGGTCCGCAGGGAGATTCAGCTGGGAGAAAGTGCCAAAGGAGACCCCAGCAAAACCACCAAAGACATAGATGACATTGTTTCTACTGACGGCATCGAGACCCAAGCCAGTTATTGGGAACTGAGCAAGTTCTTCTTCATCTACTTCAAAGTCTGAGAAAGAAACCCAGATAACATGAAAAAATATAGAGAGATCCCTTTTAAAAAAAAAAAAAAAGAACAAATTATACATGCAATCATATGAGATCATTCATCTGCATTGTAACGTATTACCTGAAGCAATCCAACAATAGTATTGACATTTCATTATGATTTTGGTTTGACATTTTCTTTATTGATTTAAAAAATTTTGTGATATTGATTTCACATTATCTCATGATATTGATTTTACACTTTCATTTATTAATATTTTCTATATTTATTTTACATTCTCTTATATTGATTTTTATATTTTCTTATATTGCTAGTACATTTTCCAATGCTTCTACTATTAAAAATTTTCTACATTTAAATTTTACATTTTCTTATGATAATAATTTTAAATTCCTGATCAATGCTCTTGGCTCAAGACTGCACCGCAACACTGTGCAAGCTACTCACCAACAAACTGCAGCCTGTGCCAGGTGTTACAAAGGTAGCGGTAGACAATGACATCTGTAGCAAAGCTTTTACTGGCAGTGAGACCTCCAATGACAACCATGGAGTCACCCATGTGAACTGCTGTGTGGAAAACTCTGTGTTCCCACTAAAGAGAAAAACAAAAATTTTATAACATTATTATAGAGTGGCTTTTTGATAGTGGCCATTTGACAAGTGTAGTAATTTACAATGGAGCAAATGGCAGTTTCTTAACTTTGTTAATTTTATTTAATAGAATTACTGATGTTTTAGCAGAGTTAGATAAAAAATGTTAGATTAAAAGACCGAATTGGTTATACAAAATTAAAAACTGACTTATTTGAAAAAAAAAATTAATAAATTTACATCAAAACAAGTTGTAATTAAATTAAACCATTTTAGAACTCATTTTAGAACTGGGTGCAGATGGCTAATGGATATCCACTGTAATGTAATGCCAAGGTGAGGCATAATATTACTCAGATTTTATCCTAGTTTATCAGCCAATAAATGCAGATGATTCATGTACAAGTAACAAAATAAACATAAAGTATTTATTTTGATCATCCACTTGTATTTTCCCATGAAATTAACATCTTGAATACAGTTCATTCACCACAACAACTGAGTGAACTAGAAACGCCGTGACACAGATGCATTATATAACAGATTTAAAAAAGTGTTGTACCTTGCTGTTCTCCTCTGGCTGTAACATGTTCCACATTTTCCCTTTGATGTCCAGGGTAAAGAGCTCTTGTGAAACATACCAGTCCTCAGATCTGTACAGGTAGCCACCAAAAACATAGATTGTTTCTGTTTTATCATCAAACACTGCACTGTGGCCATACAAACCTAGTAGAAAGAATGAATATTTAGTGAATTTTTAAAATATATCTATTTCTGTATGAATATGTAAGCCACTTGTTGCCAACTATTTATTTTATATTGCCTATATAAATCCATTATTTAATATTTCTTAGAACTAAAAAAATAATAATTTGATGGGAATGTACCTATAGGGATGGAACCTTGCATTTGCTTGAACTCTTGCCATGCAAACTGGCCAATGGAAACATTGTACTCATAAACCTGGTCATTGAAGTAATTGTCAGGGGAGATGCCTCCAATGAGAATCAGATTTGTGGTGCCAACATAGGTGAGGCTATGGCCTGCCATGGCTGGGAGCCAATTAGGTGACTGGATAGAGAGGTAAATATAAAAATACATCAGTACAGAAAATTTTTATACACTATCAAAATATATTTAATACATTATTAAATAAAACATTTAAATACATCATCAAAATATATTTGAATAAATATATTTAAAAAATACATGATTACAAAACATTTGAAAAATTAAAATAAAAATACAGCTAAAATATCTAAACAAAAGTCTTTACAAAAAAATCCAGTAACATATCTATACCCAGCTAAAATTCCAAATCAACAGCACTTACAACAGACCCAGTAACATTTTGCTATACACAGCTAAAATACCTAACCAAAATTCCTAACAGCAGACCCAATACCACTTCTATACCCAGCTAAAATACCTTATCAACAGTCCAAGCATGAGACTCCGTATTGAATTTCCAAAGCAAATTGCTGGGTTGCACATCCTCCACCTTGCTGCCATCTTCTCTGTAATCTACTTTTAGGGTGAAACCTCCATAGACAAAGATCATTTTGAGTAGAGGAATGCAGGCAGCGGCATGATAATAGCTGATAAAAAAGTTTAAAAGTTAAGAAGAAATTGAAAAACTGAAAAATTTATAATTTTTGTAGTAAATAAAGTGTTTTATTTACTGGGTCAAATCAGAATTACTTTAAGCAAAAAAAAGTTGTAACATTTTTTGTGTTTGAATGTGTAGAATGTTACCATTTTTTTTAATGTGTAGGTAACATTAAAAATGAGATTGTTACATACTAGAAATAAGATTTTAGTGCGACTAACCTCCCACTAGGTTTCTTATCTAGTTATAAATTTTGTGTGCGTTCGATTGTGTAAAAAATAAAATTGTTAGATAGTATAAATAAGATTTTAGAGCGACTGACCTTCCACTTGGCTTCTTATCCAGCTCTGGAAGAATGAGCTCCCAGGATTTGGCCGTAACATTGTACACCCACATGTCATTGAGGACCCCCTCCTTAGAGCTGTAACCCCCATACAGGTAGATCAGGTCATCGCCACAGCTGGTCATGGTGTGGCCAGCACGTGGGGACGGGCCATAGGCATTGCTACCAAAGATGTGCTCTTTAACTGGAGACATGGGCAAGCGAGAGTCTGTTATAATTTGCTGGCGGAGTTCATTGATGCCCATCTTCTCTGTGCAGGACAGACCACTGTAGTTCCTGTTGCAAATGCAGATGCCGTTGAGCTGAGGAGTAGAATAGAAAATATTCCTAATGTATAAGTTTTAACATGGCTTGGGTTTCAGACTGAAATAATTTTTAATTTACAGCTTAGATAAAACTAAATTGTTTATTAATATTCTTGTTTATTTAAATTAATTATGAATTCTTCTTCTTCTTCTTCGTTCTTAATTTTTAGTGTTGGAAGGGATCGAGCCTTATCAGCCAGAGGGTTTGAACTCGAGACTTTTTCAAATTTATCAACCAAATTATGAATTGAAATGCCTAAAATGTTGAGGTTTTTAAGTTAAGAACAAAATATCTATATTCATATATGTTAAAATAGTACTTATGATACATGTTATTAAAATGATATAGTTACTTACACAGTATCCATTGCCAACATCTTCAGAACAGTTGTTGGGGCAGAGAGGTACTTTACAGTTTGGACCCCAAAAACCCTCCTTGCAAACACAGGAGCTATCCACACATTCCTGGTTGTCATGACAACTATCAGGGCAAGTATAAGCACGAAAGGTAGCATTGAACCTGGTATTGTAGCTTGGGCTCCTTGATCCTAGGATATTAAGATAATGAAGTTGATTAATAATGTTTCACGGGTAAATGAATGGTTTAAAACAACTGGATATCACACAAAAAAAACAGCTTACCTTCGAAGAGTACCGTCATTATTCCTTGTTTGCCATACACAGTGATATCTCTGCCTGGGGATAGGCCACAAAATTCTCCAAGTGGTTCATATTCCATAGTCTCATCACCATAGCCATAAATGAAGTCAGGAATTCCACTGTACACATACACAGCCCCCTGATGAATGGCAATTGAGACATAATTTTATCTACAGTTGGTCACCATACTTGTTAATAGCCCATTTTTACAAGCTTTGATATAAAATGAAAATTGGACTATCAAAGAGATATAAATGTAATGTATTACAGCGTTTTACATCCTAATACACACTCCCTCATACTTTTTTCTATATAACTATCATGCTAGAAGAAACAATTATTCTGAGTTCGCTAAAGCCATGGCTAGACAGAAAATTAAACAAGGGCACTGTTTAATAAACATGAAAGAAAACAAATTGCCTTCCACCCAGGCCAGGAAGGATCAGACTATATTCTTTTTCTTTGCCACAAGTTATTTTAAACACTCTTTACAGCCAGTGATAACAAAAGGTAATAATATAGTCAGGTTTATTTTTTTACCTTGCCACAGGTTATCACCATGTCGCCCTCTACCGTCAGTGACAACAAAGGTGCAGTTTTCAGGTCCGATGGCCTTTGCTTGATACTTGGGAAAACTGACAGAATCCACAGACAGTATGAATGGCCAACTTTCTCAATCCCATTCTCCTGATACAGACCAAGGCCACCCTGTGTTGCATTGGTAACAAACACGCGATAATCGCAGCGCAGGTAACATTGTCCACCATTTCTGGGAAAATAATTGTTTTTATTTCCAGTTAAAATCCAAACCATACAAAATTTTTAAAAATAATTTTTTTACATGTTTTTTTAAAAATAATTTTAAAAAATCTTTTTCAACTACAACCTTGAAGTTAAAAACTAGTGCAACTACAAAGCAATAAAATTGTACGTACTTAGGGTTTCCATAGTGGGTTGGCAGACAGGCCTCACAGTTAGGGCCATATGTGTTGCCAGTGCAGTAGCAGACCCCAGTAACATTGTTACAATCTCCTTTACTCATGTCACCATGGCCATTACACATACAGGGATGACAACCTAGAAATTTTAAAAAAGGGATGGTTAATCAACACAATTAATATAAGCCTATTTTTACTGCCTACTACACAAAACAGTCTTATCCAATTATCTTATACTTATGTCTAAAATGCTGCATTAAGATAAACAAATGTAGTGTTTTTATTGCTAGAGATTATGGATTAAAGCTCATTGTTTAAAATTAAAGCCAGCTTTGTTTCCTCTAGTTTTGTTGCAGAAGGTAACATTGATTAGCCTAAGCCAGGGGTCGGCAACCTTTTAAGGCGGAAGAGCCAAAAATTTAAATTTACATGATTTCCCAGTTTTCAAAGAGCCACCAACAATTGTTTTTTTTTTCAACATTATGGTTTTTGATTAAGATTAGGTAAATAGATTTAAAATAAATGGGTTTAAGTATGAAACAAAATTCATATAAAAACATACACATGTTTTCGCACAAAACATAAGTATTTTAGCCAGCTCTGCTAGGATAATAAAATCAAACTATAAAACTATAGCACTATCCCTACCCAATTTAGAAGCTAATAACTAAAAAACTAGGTCACTAAAGTCAACTTATTGCACACTGACACATAAAAATGCTTTCTGAATAAAATAACAATTACTATTGAAAAATATTTGAAAAGAACAACTGCACTTCGGTAGTGGAAAGCATGGAACCACTGCCACGAGGCTGGCCACATCACAGTTGTGGAGTTGGGCCTTGTGCCCAAGCGGCTGTCAGCTGTCCGTATACGCTCTACTCCACCAATTCTCAGTTTTTATTTAGTTTAAAGTTGTTTTTTAAAGTATAATATTTTTATTAGTTAAGGATATAAAATAATACAATTATGGAACTGGCGAGCCGCATCTTGACATCAAAAGAGCCGCATGCGGCTCGCGAGCCGCAGGTTGCCGACCCCTGGCCTAAGCCATATTATCATTTAAATTATATTCTTTGTCTTAGATGAGCTGAGCTGATACACATTTGTGATTGAAGTCATTTATTTATTTAAAAATCATTTTTCAAAGTTTATTTTAAAAAGGTTTGAAAAAATACATTTTTTTAAAAGTATTCCCCCACCCTCCCAAATTATGTTCTTTAATAGAAAGCATTATCTAATAAGCAATTACTATTACTGTTGAACAAAGATATTTAGTTTCCCAATAGACTAAAACAATAATTTAGTTAGAAAAATATCTGAATGAAATTTTTTTTACTATGTGAATTAAAATAGTTTCCATAGGAAGGACTAAAAGAAATTTTCTTGAAAAATCTGTTTGAACGCAAATTTGTGGATTAAAAGGGTTTCCATACATGTTATAAATATTATTTAAATATGTCTGAATGAAAATATATCATGTGGATCAAAAGAGTTTCCATAAGACTAAAATATGCTTAAAATATTTCTGAAAACAAATTTACCATGTGGATCAAAAGGGTTTCCATAAGACTAAAATATGCTTAAAATATTTCTGAATACAAATTTACCATGTGGATCAAAAGGGTTTCCATAAGACTAAAATATGCTTAAACTATTTCTGAATACAAATTTACCATGTGGATCAAAAGGGTTTCCATAAGACTAAAATATGCTTAAAATATTTCTGAATACAAATTTACCATGTGGATCATAAGGGTTTCCATAAGTTCCAGGCAAACACATGTCACAGGCGGGCCCAGTAGTTCTGTTCTGACATGCATCACACAAGCCTACTCCTGAATCACATGTGCTGTGGCCATTGCACCCACAATTCACCTCACAGCTGTGGTTAGTCCAGCCAAGGTTGCAATCGCACTTGTAGTCAGGGGGTCCAGAACAGTTGCCATTTTGGCAATTGTAATAGCAACTAGAAAAAACATCATTTCATTTGATAATTTAAGTTCAAAGGTGTTTATAAAATAAAAAAACAATACATTTTGAATGTACACATTTTTAATAATCTAAGTAAATATTATTTAAATAAATAATAATATTTTATTAATTTAAACATCTGTATCTTACGTCTCAATGCATTCCTCCCTGCCGTCACCTTCAAACCCACGGTTGCAAGCACAGCGATAAGATCCATAGACATTGATGCAAGTGGAATTAGGATGGCATTTATGCTTTCCCTGGGTACATTCATCTATATCAGGACAAATGGCATAGGACCATGTTGTGGGCTCCGACAAGGATGTGTTGTATGCCTCATGTAACAGGGAGGAGCAGCTTTTGCTGCCGTGCATGCCTGAGGATTAGGGAAACAAATTTTGTTTTACCAGCTCGTATTAATGCTTGATAAAAAAATAATTTACATTATTTATCTATTATTTAAAAACAATATAGTTTATAATTATGAATTGTCTATCCTGAATAATCATTGCTGAGTTGTTTTATCTCTAATGTGGTTTGTAAACAAAAGTACATTTATAACAATTTAAAAAAAAACAAGCTAATATCATTAAAGGTATGTACTTATGATATTATCTATTTGAGACAGTTAAAAACAACTGAAGAATCAGTTCCTTATCAGAGAGAAATGTCAAGACTTACTTCCAAAATCTCCTTTCACACACAGACCAATGAGATCATCGTTTTCGTTACTGCACCACCCGCAGCCAAACTCTTTGATGCAGTCCTTACATGTGTTGTACTTCTGGCAGGAGTAGCACCCAATGTCGTGCGTGTCGGTCCAGAACGTGCACTGCCCATAGATGTACCTGGTCACATAGTCAGAGAAAGGTAGACAGGTCTGGGTGTTTTCACACCAGGTGCATTCATTCTTCTGACTGATGCAATCACTGCAGTTCAAGCGTCTGTAAATAAAAACATTTTCTTACTACTATGATATTTTACATCAGTTAAGCTCCGTTGTTACAATTTCAATAACTATAGCTATTTTTAATCAAAATAATTTAATTCCTGATGTTAAAGACATAACCTACTTGTGGCATGGCAGAGGGCATTTGCTGCTGTCCTTCACTGCTGCCTTTTTAGGATATCTGTTTCTTCTTGTACAGTGACCATCCGCTATAGCCCATTCACATAATGGATCCTGAGCAAAAATTCGTAATATATTTGTTTTTAGGCCACTAGTGTAATACTTGTTCATCATCTATATCTTAAACTCTTTAACCTGGTTAGCTAATGTCTGAATGATGGACAGAGTGATAGCCATAATTCTTACAAATGCTGTGCTAGTTGAACTCACGCTATGCACTGTCAGGTTACAAAAGTTTATGCAACTTATTATGACCAGGCATTTTAAATGTGAGACACTTCATCAGCCTTATTTCAGAATAGGGTTTAAGTAGGATTTCATGGTCTAATTGTTTTTTAAATTATATTTTTGTTCTTAATGTTAAAAACTGTTTATCAATTTCATTCTCACCAGTAAGATGAGTAAAATTTAAAATGTGTTACATCTATAGTAACTGTAAAGAAAAAGGGTAGGATACGTCAAATTCAAAATGCGCTACATGTACAGTAACTAAAAATAAAACAGTCTGAATTACTGCAGCGCAAGATGAGCATTGGAGATAGTTTTCACAGTCTGGACATTCAGAGGGGGATGTGATGAGGTACTGGTGCCTCAGGTCCTCCTGGCACAGGTCGCTGCTCATGTTGCGAGGCACACACATCCGCTTGACCTCACACCAGCTGCACAGTATATCTGTTAGACAGCTCAGGCAGTTGTATGCATTACAGGTCCCATTGCTGGTTTAAGGATAGAATAAATAGGGAAAATATTATACCACTTGCCTTTAAAAACTTAGCAAAACAGATATTGGAGTGCAAATACATAGCACATATTTTAAGTACCATCCTACATATATCAAAGTTAACAAAGCAAATTTCAAAGATTACAATACGTTAACAGCTATAAATTGTTGTGAGAAGAATTACAGTTGTATTTCTACTGTGGTTTATCAATACTCCAGTTGTCAACATATTTTTCTGTCACCAAATTATTTTTTGTTTTGTTTTTAAAAAGTCTTCACCTGTAGGGTTCTAAAAACTCATAGGAAACTGGGTGTTGCTTGACATCTGATTTCTTGAGATAACCATTCCATTGGACTGAAACTGTAGTACCATTGGCCAAAAAGTGAATGGCTCTCGGCACATACTGGATTGTCAACTGTAAAAAAAAATTATTTGAGTGATATTCAGCCCTGCAACCTGTTCTTAATATTTATTTTTCAGCATTAATCTAGAAAAAAATTCTTTTTTTTTAAATTCATGGGTAAATTCAACAGAAGACATAAATCAAGAAATAGCAGCTATGTACTGGTGCTAGCCACACAACCTTTTCAAATGTCCTACGCACAGAGCATCTACCTGGCATAAGTAGACCATCAAAGCTTAACAATGAAATTACTATACAGTTAATTCCTCATATATGATAGTCAACAAACTTAGTCGACAAAACTTCTTTGTCCCTTCAATACACAAATGGCTGGTTGAATTTTTTTACCTGCTCCATGAAATACTTGTATCCTCGAGTGACATTTGGGAACAGCAATCTGTTGTTTCTTCGATGTGCTTCAGTGGCGTTATATAAAGAATCTTCACCATGGACTGCTACCAATTCCTATTAGGACCCAGATAAAGTATTTTTTTTTTTAAAATGGATTCATCAAGCTAATGTGTATCATTTAATCTCAGGTGATGTGGCCAGGCAACTTAACAGAAAAAACTACTGCCAGGTGCAACTACAATTAGCTACATGCACGTTTTCATTTCCACCTGTCCAAACACGTTAAGTGATACTAACATGCTTTGAATTTTTTTATTGGTGACAATCACTCATTGAAAGTTGTGTATATTTAAGCAATTTCCTTTCATATTTTTTTTAACTAGTGGTTCCTCAATTAAATATTAATAACAGTTGATTTAACTATAACCAAAAAAAATTATAGAAACATTTTTAAAAAAAAATTTAGGAATTTTGACAACGTAACAATATATGTAATATAAAACATACTACAAAATAAAATTACAAAATGTACCTTTCGCTCAGCAGATTCATCAGTGGATAAATATAGTGTTGCATTATCTAATTTAAGCGACAGCGACAGTTTCAAGTTCTCATGATTAGGTGGCTGAGCATTCAAGGGGTGAATAAAGCCTTGAATCTTAGATGTGTAGTTAAATTCTTTCTCAATTCGTTTGGTTGTGGTGTATCCTAGTTTGAATGTAGTTTCACGTATGATGCTTAGCTGAAAAACACAATGAAAGAATTAAAATTCTGTACATGATGACAAAGCCGCAAAAGAAAAAAACCCGCTGAAAACTAATATACCACTGAGAAAAAGTCTCTTTACAAAATTACTTTTCTAACACTATATGTAGTCCTAAAAATCAAGTAGTTTTTCCAGAGCAATTAATAATTTAAAAATTGAAAGAAAGGGGATTGATAATCAAATTAACACAAAGTATTTTAACTGTAAGTGTATACATTTTACATTAATTGATTAATTAATATAAAGTAATCCAGTGTAAGTAACTTTTGCAAAAAGAAACTTTTGAAAAAAAAATTGAATTAAAAAAGTAAGAAATTAGAGTATAAATTCCAATAACAAATCAATTTTGGGAAACAGAGAACTTAAGTAGGCACAGGCACATTACATTCGATTGATATATTGAGCTAATTAAGAAAATACTGCACATGTTAAAAAATTAGTCTAGTAAATTATAATCCTGGCAAGAACTGAAATGAGATCCATTAAAGATTTCACACCTGTAACAGGAGTGTTGGGAGTTTAATGGTGTCAATTTAGGTTGGGAGGGGGCTATCGGCTTTATGTGACTAGGGGTGCAATCCTTAAGATGTAAATGGCCGTTGGTAATGTTAGCAGAACTCCTACTCTACCTCATCAGGATAAGAAATGTTGAGCGGCTCCCTGTATTTTATCCAGTGAAGTCCTGCAGGAAAATCTTCCACTTGGCACTGAGAAAATGTTGTCAGATTTGAACTCAGCCCACCCCACCAGCCTTGCACACCAGATATGGTCTCTCTTGGTCCTTTACATGTTCCAGATGGTGCTATAGTTATTTTTTACAAGAAAATAAATTAAATTTAAAAAAAAATTCAATTTAAAACGTTAAAAAAAAAACTACACAATTTGTAATGATTCATTAATTCAGTGTTACACTGAATTAGAGAGGATAATAAAATATGGGGCATGTAATTTCACCCATACCCCAACATTTCTAATGAAAATCAAGGCTTGTAATTTTACCATATTTATATTCTATATGGTTCAACATGAGCTCTTATAGTTCTAATAAATGTGTGTATTGTGTGGGCATTACAATGCCCAGATGTCCTCACCAGACGTTAGAGGTAAGTAGATTCAAATCAGTCTTATACTGAAGCCAAGTACTGAATTTAAGACATGTGCCTGCTTTCATATTTTGACTTAAGAAGAGAGAGCCACCTCAACCTCCTCTGAGTGATAACATCTTCTCACCTGTCCTAGTTTGACACTGCGCTTCCTTAACACACCAGCTGCACTCATCAATGTAGATGCTTCTCCTCGGCAACTCATCAGAGAGGTTGGCCCCTTTCCCCTGACTGATGCAAGAACCACAGGTGTGAAGAGCTGGACATATGCCCGGACACCGTTCAGGGGGATCATACACTAGTCCATTGCAACTCTACAACAAAAAATACAAACATATAAAATTTAGCTATATTTTCATATCATTCAGGTATATATGTTTTCTTAAATGCAATAAATTTTCAGTCAGTAAATTTGACTTAGAACAAGTGAAATTTCACTCATTTTTGGAGCTTGAGAATAAGATCCACATAATCATTAATGGCAATTTCGTCAAACTTTCTAGATCTGATGTCTGTTGTTATTGCAGTACACTCAGACACAACTATTCATAACTTTAATACTAAGAAGCAATAATAATTTCAAACAAGTGAGTTGCTTTTTTCACTCACATTAACTAGAAAACTGTGTATTTAACGTTTCACTTAAAAAAATAATCACTGAGTTTCTGTAAGTAAAAACCACAACAAAATAAACTTTAAGAAACACACCTCAGCGCGTGTCCTATGAATACATCCAGGGCTTTCTACAATTGTAGCATGGGTATGGTTACAGAAGACACACTCTGGGTCATCTTGGCATTTTCGTTGATCATTTTTTGGATGCTGTTCACAGTGGTCGTGATTGATGGGGCAGTCCCTGTTCTCTGGGTGTGTGCACTGAAGCAACACAGAACATCAATGTTTAATGTAACAAAAGAGTTAAGTATCCTATTAGATCTGACTGTCCACACAGCACATAATGTTTTTTTTTAAAGTGTCATATACAGTAATACTGTACAACAGGAATTTAAGTAGGAATATTCTAAATAAAGGCCTATAGAGTAATAAATTAAATTAAACATAAAAACTGCATAAATTCTAACCACATAATCAGCAATAGCAGATGAAACTTTATAGGCCAGAAGATCTCCATGTACTTGACCAGAATAGCCCCCCATTACAAACATGATGTTACCATTGGCTACCACTGCAGTATGGCCAAACCTTCCTTTTCTTGGTCCTTTACTAGATTCTGTACTACCTAATAATAGATGAAAAAAGTATATGTCTAATGAACAAAAAGCCATTATCATACAAATTGTGTTTAAATTTATTGATTGCAGAAGTAAATTACTGAAATATTTTAATGTTTTAAATTGATATAATCATTAATGAGGTGTAGGCCTAATTTAGTAAGCCTGCATTTTGCAAAGTAAAGCTCACAATAATTTTGTTTTTCTAACCAAATTTAATTTCAAATTAAAATAATTTGGTTTTCTTTTGTTAACTTCAATCTACTTCTAATCTTATAAGCTTTATAAAGTAATAGTAAAACTATATGTAAAGACAAACTGGTTGGTCTACAACCCAGGTCTGTAGTCTTACTTAACAAAGTCATTTTACAACTTATAAAAAATAAGAAAATACCAGGTAAGCCAATAATGTAGCTACCAGACCACAGTTTGCAAACAGCTGGTCAAAGAGTTTAAATATTTATATCTTACTATTATATCCAGTGATTTTGTTAAGGCAAAATGTGGTAAGTGTGATACCATGCCTTTTATAAGATGAGTTTAATCTGTTTATAAGTTGCCCAATAAAAACTTAAACTTTTAAACTTATTAACTTTTCAAGATAATGTCAGTGGGTTTTATACTCCATTTTGGGCTAATATTGTTTAACCTGTTAAGAGCATGAGTTGCTCTTTATATTATATGTTTAAAGTTAATATCTATAAACATATATAAATAACAAAATTAAAAATAACAAAATAAAATTTAAATTATAAATGATTAAAAGTTCATAGCTTGACTTAAAATGTGATTTTAAGACAACTTACCTATGAAATAGGTGTTGTTGATCCAGACGTGGCAACCCAAGTGGTAGAAGAAAATCTCCTGACTGTAGCAGGTCTCATAGGCATTGTGATAGTGGGTGTTCCCCCCATAGACGACCATGTAGTTCCCCATAATAACAGCCGTGTGAAAAGCTCTGTGCTTGGGCATTGAATAATTACTCCAGTTTTCATTGTGAAGGTGTGACCAGAAGAAATCATCTGTATGGAACGCATAGATCTCCCGAGAGCGATCGCTGAAGAGAGCGCTGCTTTGGATGTAACCACCGAACACTATCAGTGATCGAGAATGTTTGTGGTATACTGTGGAATGACCAGCAAGCTGTTTTCTAGGGTAGTTTCCACCTTTTACATAAACTTTCTCCCACTGCTCGGGGGCCTTAGCATCTATCCTGTAAATGGAATCAATGAGGATGCGCTCTTCATTTTTCCCACCAAAAACATACAGATAACCTTCTGCGGTTGTCAGTGTGTGATCTGTTACTTTCTCTGGGACGACCTCACTTTTATTGGCACACAGAGTCCATGTAAATGATGTGGTGTTGAAAAACCACAAGTCGTTACTGTGCAGGCCATCATTCAGGAGACCTCCAAAAATAAAGAACCCATCCTCATAAACATCAGCTGCATGGCCGCTCCTAGGTAGCGGCCATTCATTAATGCTCCTTCTGTCAGGTTTAACTACACCTTCCCACAAATTTTCTAGCATGCAGTACCGCCACAAGTCATCCAAAAGGTTGTTAAGATTATACCCGCCAAACATCCATATACAGTTGTTGATGTACACAGATATGTGGCCTGTGCGGGGCGGGAAGCCGCCCCCGAGCTCATCTTGAACAGCATACCACTGGTCATGAATTTCAGTGCTGTGTATGGGAAGATTACAATGTTCCCCCACATAGCCATTGTTACAATGGCAGTACTTCAATCTGTGCGAGTGGAATCTACATTCTCCGTGTGGGTGGCAGTTCAATGGACAATCTGTTATCTAAAATAGAAAAAGTAAAAAAAATATATTAATTTGTTTACTAAATTTATAAAATCCTAACATTCAACATCTATAAGCAATATATTTAATTTTTTTGTCCATCACACATACTGATACAGAAATTCTTAAATAAAACATCTGTTTAGCTTACTTAAAAACATTTGAATTTATCAGATGCAAAACTACTTTCTGGACTTTCCTATTTCTGTACCTGATTACCCACTAAAACCCACACACTCAGCTATAATTATTGCAGTCATTTGACTAAGGAGGTAAAAATTTAATAACACTGGTAACTCACATTATTCCAGTAGTTCTAAAGTGTTCCTATGATATTCAACAAAATGTTAGCAATCAAAAATCAAATTTTAAAATACTATTGATCCGTAAAAGAAATGACTACATAAATCCAACTCATTTATAATACAATAAAACTATTCTCACCTCACATCCTTTGCCACTATGGCCTGCGTTACAAAAACAGATGTGATTTTTACATATTCCATGCCCACTACAATTCCATGGACAGTCATATATTTTGTAACGTGCTTCAAATCCTGACGTAACATAGTTGCGGTCACTGAAGAGAAATAGAAGCATCTGGAAGAAAATATGAAACAATCAGATCATTCTATAAGAACAACTAGTAATGAAATCCAATGATAAAGTTGAGAAACCACAGCAATAAAATTAATGGGATTAAAAATGTAAATAATTTATAAAGTAAATTAAATATTTAAGTAATCCATCACTTCACAATAAAAAATGTCAACAGATGAGTAGTAAGGTAACTTACAAAGCCAGAGTGTGCAGTAATGCTGTTACTAGGTAAACTATCTCCACTGAGTGAGGCTATTAGTTTACTGTTGTAAGAATTCCCATCATAGATAAAAATGAAGTCAAACGAGCATTCTGTAGCAATACTGACAAAAGTCAGGTGTATGCTTTTATTAGGCCCTCCAGCTATAGGTTTATAAAATAATAAAAAATAGTTAAGAAAGGTGTATAAGTATAGTTTTAAAATTGTGAATGACACACATTTTTTAAAAAAATGTAATAATCTTTTTTGTGAACTCAATAAATGTCTTTTAACACTAAACTAATAAATATATCAACAGGATAATGTCTATATAATTCTGATTTATGTTATTTTAATCAAGCAAAAAAATAATTAAGATTTACAAGAAAAAGAAAAGATTATCCAGAAAATAAAACGTGCTAAGAAAAATGTCATTTTAATATTTATCATGGTGTGTATCAGTTAACAACTGTAATCATAATAATAATAAACTTATGAACTTGAAAATATCTCTTAAAAAAGAATTACATGCATAAAAATGATTTTCATATCTCAAACTAAAAATTGTTAGTTTCATATGTAGATTCCACTGTTGATTCATTTTTTTTTTTTTTAAAAGTGCCTAATTTAAAATGCTCAGATATGTCCCTAAAAAACAAAACATTTGAAAGATAAAATACACTATTTGAACTTACCATCAATAAGCCATTCACACTGGATGTGTTCCTGATAGTGCTCATGGCCATCTGAGAAATGGCCTTCATGGCCATTTAGAACTTTTTTGCCATCACAGCTTCTAGAGGAGCAGTGAACATTGAAAAAAAGCAAGCCCAGAAGGTTCAGCCCAACTAACAGGCCTACCACAGTCATCATGTGGTCATTATTATCTTGGGAACTTCAACCCTCCTCCTGCGAGCTTTTAGTTTTTCAAGGTTCCATTATATACTTTGCATTCCCAGCCACTGATTTAAAAAAAAAACTTCTCATTAACAAAATATTGAGAAAAAAAAATGAGATGGTATTAACAATTAAAAAAAAAAGTAAAGGTATACTATACTTCCTTACTAGACAATGGTTTTAGTATAGCCTAATTTCTATTTAATATTTTCTAAAAAATTTGTCTTGGTGGGGGAGGGCCAGCGGAAGTGCTTCAGGGGGGTAACTGCCAGTCCCCTCCCCCCCTCAGTCTTAAAGAGATGCCTGAAAGAAACACTGGTGTTGACTAGATAGAGACTATGTATCAGCATGTCTATTCCCATGTCTTAGTTATTTCTTATTAGTCATATTTAGGATATATTGATTGGGCCTTATTAATTTTAATTAACAGATGTGGTAACTGTCAATGTGATTAGATTAGATATTTAGAATCTTGAAGTAGATCTAGATTCTAGACTAGCTAGGAGAAGAGAATCAGACTTGCTCTGGCTCTATTAGTATTAGAATAAGAGTAGTCTACTGTCTAGGTAGTAGAGGAGGGTCGGATGATTATAGATACCGGTGTCCGATAATAGAATCTTCTTTAAAAAAGGGGTGTTAGGTTGTTAGTAGTAGTATTGCAATCTCGTCTAATTTATGGTTAGAAATTAGGGTTAGGCGTATAGGTGGACCAGGGTTGGGGTTAGGGTTAGGGACAGGGTTAGCATTGACATTAGCCAGCCATGAGTGTATTTAGTAGTATTTCTCGCTAACCCGGAGGCGTGGCCGGTTGCTAACAACAATATGGCGCCCGGACCGGACGCTTGACTTCCGACGATTTTTCGGCCAAATTCCAGAGACCTACTACAAATTAGTTTTTAAAATGTTTACCACACGCAAAATGGCGGGACTTTCACGTTATAACAACAAGCTATAGGTGGCAGGGCTATATATGAAAGAAAAGCATTTTAAAATTTGCGTTGGAGAATGAAGGCTAAATTTAAAGTCGGTGTCATTCAAAATAATATAACTTTTTAAATATAGATCTCCCTATCACAAAATTGATTTCCCTACTAAAGCATTATTAGTTTTATCAGTCTATGAAAAAATAAATCAAATATAGTCAACCCTTTTTTTTATAAGAGTGGCCAAAAAATGACAACCAAATTTTTTTTTTTTTTTGACCACGTGACCGCTATTTGATGATCACTAGTGGGGAACTCTGGGTACATGGCCACTTAAAAAGTCTAACCGCATTTGTGGTTCTCTTTAGCTTCAAGTGCCTTCAGGGGTAAGAAGAGTTGTCATGGAGAGATGTGTTGTCCATGGCAGTGAGTGTCAATAAATATTAAATTAAGTAATTTAGTTTAAAACGAACTAAAAACTTCAAAATTAGTCCCTAATAGATTAAATATGGATGTCTATCATTCAGTAGTCATGTTTAATTTGAAATTTGGGTAAATTCTAGATTTAGCAAGAAAAGCTAGTATTTAGTTAACTACCAGTAACCTAACACCCCTTTTTTAAAGAATATTCCATTATCGGACACCAGTGTAAACATTCTCCCAGAAGGTCTCTAGACTAGACAATAGCTAGACTCAAAACTGCTCACTTCTTACTCAATCTAGACTAGCTAGAGTCATGTCATTAGCTAAATCTAGTAGCTAAAGTAGAGTCAAGCTGAAAGATAGAGCTAGGACCAAACCTAGGACCTAGCTACAGTAGCTACTTTATCTACATCTAGATCTAGTAGAGAGAGATGAAGAATAGTTTAGAACAGACTTTTGATAAAGATTAAAAAAAGTGTAGGGCCCTATATTATTTAAATGATTTAAATTAGATTTAGATATCTTGATTCTAGATCTATATTCTTGACTATAGGATACAGAGGTCCGTAGGGCGTGTAGGGGTATGTTTGGGGGGAAGTTAGTCTAGATCTGGAGATCAAGACTAGACTAGATTACACAAATTACAATCACAAGAATTTTTTTACTTTTTACAACACAAAAACAAGACAAAAATAATTTTTTTTAAATTCAATAAAAATAAAAACATTTTATGAATTTCAGCGATTAAAGACGCTGTACTATAAATATGGAAACATGACTACAGTGGCATACCACTTCTAACTATTTCATTTTCAATAAAGCATCGATATCTCACATTTTCAGTAAATCCATCGAGTTTTATTGTTTACTTTTTCTTCTGCTTAGAATTTGTCATTTTCCTTAATGATAAGCTCACTTCCGCCGCACCGGAGTCAAAACTGTCTTTGATGCCATTGGAGAATCACATAGAGATCTGGACCTACATCTAGGCCTTAGACCTAATCAATATAAATAGGCTAGTTATAGTTGAATTCGTTGCATCCATTCAAAAATATATGTAATCAACTTGAAACCAACCAACATTTAGATTTAAAGAAAGAAGAAGGGAGAAATAATGAAAATTCATTAAAATTAAAATACGTGCCGTATTTTTTCTCTGCTAATTTTAAGCTTAGTATACAGTATACAGCCGCAGTATTTCTTCCATACTCTTTTCTCCGGGGGGGGGGGGAGGGATTTTCGTACACTGGTAAAAGTATATATTTTCTATATAAATTATATAATTCTATTTCGTTTGGGGGTGGTAGACGTTCCACGCCCCCCCCCCCCCGCCCCCCAAGAGATGCATGGAAGAAACTCTACGGGCCGAACGAAGTCCCTGCCCCCCCCCCTCCAATTTCGGCTAGAAAGCATTTGTTTAGAGACAGTAGATGAAAAGAACAGTGAACTCGTGTTATATTTTACTTATGAGAGATACTGCGTAGAGCATTATTACTTCAAGTAATATATTAATTATTATGTCAAAAAATACCCTTTCAAACCTTACGGGGCAGGTGACGTAGTGTTCACCAGTTTCAAGAAATTAGCCTATGTAAAGACGCCGTCCTTATCACATGCTGTAAGACATTAGTAATTAGAGTGGTAGCACTTTATAAACTTTCGGGAGAGGGTGGATTTAAATTTCCGGGAGGGGGCAGTGGACTTGCTTTGTTGAGGGGTGGGGGATTTATTCCTATCACACTTTGGATGGTTGCATCTCCCCATCCCCTTCCGCATTGTGAAGCTACTACATGACTACACCCCAGGATCGCCTTATTCTAATATCTATATGCTACGCCAGTATGATTTATTTGGCCAGCTTATGGACCATGGGTTTCGTACCTAAGGTGTATCTGTAATTTATTTCGTGCGGCACTACACCAAAACCTTAAATATTTTAACTGTATGAACGGACGAGCTGCTTTAATTTTATTGATGTTTAATGACCAGGCATCTCTTCGGGGGGGGGGCGCTCTACCGCGCCCCCCCCCTGCGAACGAGATGGAATTTATATAGTAAACATATACTTTACTAGTGTCCCCCCCCGGAGACTGCTGACCGCCCCCGAAAATATTAAGTGCCCCCCCCCCCCCGAGAAAAAAGTCTGGAAGAAACACTGGGGGGTACATATGTCCCCGGGCGCTGACCCTAGGGGCGCCAAAATGGGTTGAAAAATATCTTTCTTTTTAATTTTCAGTGCCTTTAAAAGTTGATTAACTTTTTCTAACCGTGTGCATTTTTTTTTCTTTCAACTAGACCAGTCCTTAACGTAGGCTACTAGATCTATCTTTATCTCCATCCCCGGAGCACTTCACTCCCCCCCCCTCCTCCCCCCCCCCCCTCGCGAAAGAGAAAGATATGTAATTTTAGAAAATATATACTTTGACCATTGTCTGCCACACCCTTGGAAATTTTAAGTGCCCACCCCCTTCCGAACAAAAATGTCTGAAAGATACCCGTTTGCTCGCCGCAGGTTGAGAAACGTTAGGCCCTAAGCCTAGTTTGTTTTTACTAAAATTGAAAAGTCAACGTAAACCAAACCGTAGCAGTTTAAAATTATCTATTTTGCCTAGGGTTCAAAGGACAGCACAGCTTTTCTTCCTTACTAACTAGACTCGGAGACCTAAACAAATCTTTCAAGAGTAGTTTATAGTTTATATTTTACTAGATCTCTTCTATACTCTATTAACTATACTTCTAAGGATCCAGGGTTGGATTTATTATTGTAATCTTGACCATTATTTAGCTGATTCTAGCTGAATTGTAGTGTTTTATTGGTAATCAGTGTAATGTAAAGTCAGTAGTAAAGTCCCGGAAGTGTAAGCAAAAAGCAGCATAGTAAAGAAAGAGTAGATAAGAGACTCAGAGAGTTAAGACTAATAACTTAAGACAAGACTAAGGGGTCATCCATAAATGACGTCATGCTTTTTTTGACGATTTTTACCTCCCCTCCGTCACACATCGTCACAAAAAGCCAGACCCCCCCTTAAAATGACGTCACACTTCAGCCTACAAGTTGAATTTTTCTAAAACATCGACATTTTTACCAAAATCGTGTCTGAACTCTGTCGAAATAGAGTATTTCAATCAATTCCTATTGCAATTTATTAAAACAGTTTTCTAAAACGCGAAATAACATCTAAAATTCCGTTTTCTAATATTGCTTTTTTATAATGCAATGTGTGACGTCGCACCATCTGAACCCCCCCCACCTCCCCCTCATCACACGCCATCAAAAAATTAGGGACCCCCCTCCCACCTACGAGTGTGATGACATTTATGGACGACCCCTAAGAGAGTAGTGGCATAGACAGCTGGCATAGCTTGGCTAATGTACTTATTCATTATTTATTTATATTAAAGGCAGGCTGATGCAACCAGATCTAGATCTAGATTATGATGACTATGATTTATAGAATATACCAGAAGTTAGTAGTAGACGTGCTGGCATAGGCAGCAATTCACAGTAAATTTTCTTTGAACACATGGGCCTATATAATATAATAATATTGATGTAATTAGGCTTATGCTATTAATATTAAAAATCAAACATTTAATGACTAAAATATAGAGAGAACTTCAATGTATATTACATAACTGTAGTAATAGTTTACAGTATACACACTATAGATGTACATCTGTTTGTACAATTTCTCTAACTTTCAAGTAACAAGACCTATTTAATATATTTCTAATCTTAGTGCTGTAATGAAAATAAAGTTTTTCTAATTGAATTGTGTTTCAGTTAAAAATGTCAGGCACCACTTTCACCCTTGAGAATCCAGTATTCCGCACATTTCTAGGATATGCAGCTTTGGTGCTCCTTAAAACAATGGCCATGAGTGTCATGACTTCCTATCATCGTATCACCAAAAAGGTAACTGCATACTTTCATTTTATTAGTTTGATATTTACAGTAATGTGAATATATATGTGAACACTTGTGGTAATTGAAAATAATATCCTGCTACCAACTATAGAAGTACAAAAAATAGCAATAGTGGGGTTTCTTATTTAACCATAATTCTTAAAATGTTCATTGCGATTGGTTATCCTTTTCTCTGTTGTTAGGTAGCTATCCCACCCTTTTAAACCTGTGTACATAAATGAAGTAGAGTTTGCCTTTTTCTGTGACATCTGCATAATAAGCTTGTTGAACTCAGGGATATCATATTAACTCAAGCCCAGAAATCAAACTTGAGAACTTTAGGTGTTGTATTTTATGCTGTACCACTTGAACATGCTGTTCCACAGATATGAACAGTTAGTCCAGTACTGCCTTAATGGGATTAGGTGTCCATAAGTTATGATGTATTAAACTAAAAAAGTATTTACTTTTCAACAGGTGTATATTAATGAAGAAGACACACTTTTAGCGGGGAAAAAGATCCATATTGTCACCAATAACCCAACAGTAGAGAGGATAAGAAGGTAGGCTCAGCAATTTACAAAATATTTTTTTCCAAGAGAACCTTAGTTAGTTACATATTATAATAAAATATAACAAAAAGTAATTTTCCAAATATTCTTCTGTTTTTCTATTAAAAAAACTGATAGACTTGCATCCAACCTTGTTAAACATTCTTATAACAAATAAGACCAGGCTCATTCTCAGCTTATTTTTTATTTAAGAAACTGAATAAATGAGAATATGATCAATACTCATTTATAAGTAGTTTTAATACTAAAGATATTTTATTAAAATAAAGTATGTTTATTTTTAAACATATTTGAAATACTTATTCAGTCCATACTTGAATTTAAATGTTTTTTTTTGTTTGTTTTTTGCAGGTGTCACCTGAATGACCTTGAAAATGTGATTCCATTTGTTCTTCTCGGCCTCCTCTATGTCACAACCGGACCTGCACTGTCATCTGCTGCACTTCTCTTCAGGGTTTTCACAGCGAGCCGTTTCTTGCACACTGTGGTTTACATATTTGCCATCCCTCAGCCTGCCAGAGCCTTGTGTTTCCTCGTTGGTTTCCTGGTGAATGTGTGTATGGGCTACATGATTCTTTGCAAAGCAGCTTTTTAATCACTATATTTGTGATTGGTTTTATGATACAAGTTGTTACTAGCTTTTAGAATATACAACTATTTATGCATAATTATTAAATAATTTGTTATTCAGTATAATCAAATTTGTTTTAGTATTTTTACTAATTATTGATTTGTATTATACAGTGTGATTTGTTCTAACATTCCAATACTATTACATGTAAAGTGGTTGTGTTTAGTAGTTGGATGAGGCTCAATCTTTGCCTATTTAAATTTTTAAAAAAGGTAATCCACTTTACCATGATAAAAAGAAAGATAAATAATCAAGTACCATGGTGTTCTGTTATAAACCTTGTTGTATCTAACAAAAAGATACTTTTGAGAAGTATACATTTTAAGAAGGGAGTTAAATATGTTTATTTTTCTTTCTTCTGCTTAAGGAGCTTAGGGCAAAGATGACACCTCACCAACAAACTATTTATAGTGGCTATTTATTTTTTTAAAAACCTCCATCCATCTCAAAACATCCTGCATCTCTCTCACAAGAACTCCTCAATGACATTGTTGGCCTTCCTTTTTGCCACTTTCCCTAATCTATGCTTTCCATCCATCATTTTCTTGTGGTTATCTCCCATACTGAAAGTGTGTCCTATCAACTCCACTTACTTTCTAGTATTACTTTGTTCCTTATAGTATTATCTCCTTAACTTAATACCTCCCATAGGCATAGATTTTTTTTTATTTTGCCTGGCCAATGTACTTTCAAGATATATCGTGATATGTTTATTGAACACTTGAGCATATTTGTTGTAACTGCATCTTTGTGTCAAGGGATCTATGCTTTGTTGTTTTGATGTCATGGTATAACAACAGAATGCTCAATTTCTGTTTTTTAATTATTAATGTTTTTATTTTATTTTTATATAAAGATAACAGTTAATTAGCTTTTTTTTGGAATTGCCTGAGTTCAATGTAACTTCTAAATGAGAAAAAAACAAAATATTTATAATTCAAATTGATTTCTCAGGATAAATGTAAGGAAGTATAGATTTCTTAAATTGTTTAGTTTCAAGTTGTATTGCTGCAGTTAAGTTTGTTGATGTCCAGTGCAAGGAAATACAGATATTTTTAAATTTTTTTTTAGTGTGTTGATGTCCACTTGTCAAAACAATATTTATGTTTGCTGTTTATTGCTTATATAGGAATATACATTATTTTGCATAACCTGTTGTGCCTTTTTAAAACTTACATCTATTTGGCAATTCAAGATTTATGCCTCCAGTGAAAAGATTTTTTTTTTAATGTTTACAGCTTTAACACTTTTTATCTTATAACATATTACTAATTCATTAATCAGATTATATAATTTAAAAAAAAATTGTTTAGACTTGGATTCATTTTTGCTATATATTTATCTTTTGAACCTGTCCACCCAGCTTTAATGCTACTGACTCCCATTGGAGAAAGTAAAAACAGCCTGGCATAACGCTGACCCCACTATCCAGTTATATACTGAGGTTAGAGAAACAGATGAACTCTGCTGTTACTTGTACTTGTGTAGGTTATTTATTTAAAACTGAAGTGGCTGAATGGTGACCAGACCTTCAACAAGTATTGAGTCAACTTGGGCAAACGAAGTGAAGACACATGTCTTAAGTACAAGCTCAGGGTTCAAATCCAGCTGATCTGTTGGTCTTAATCTTGAGTATGGATGTCCATACATGCATCAGGGGTGTGGGGGTACCCCAGGGGTGCCATGAGTCAGTCTCAGGGAATGGAAAGGCTGTTAGGCACCCACAAAGCTAGGAAGTCTACTTAAACAATTGCTTTTTAAAAACAGTAATGCTTAAGTTCCACATTTGCCAAATGGTATGTCCTCGTAAATGGCAATGTTTAAAAAAAGAAATTTTATTCACATTTGTCAACTATCCTGTGCACATAAACAAAAACATTTACTTAATTAGGTTTTTTTTAGTATTTGCAAAAATGCTGGACTAAAAAGTTTTTTTTTTTAGGTAGTATCACTACCCTCATCTTAACCCTTTATCTTTATCTAGTAGAAATAATGGCAGAAAAACCCAAGACCCTGCTTTGCCCTACACATACATGTCAGCAGAAACAACATTTGTATGAAAGAATTAAGTAAAATATTAACTGAGCTCTGACCCTGGGCAGATGAGGCTGGTTAGCTGGGGATAGCAACCTATCAAGGAGAGACAACTCCAAAATAAAAATAAAAAACTGCTGCCTTGTAGTTGGTTTTGGTTGGACAATGTCTATGGAAGCAAATCCAGAACAAAGTGCAGGCTGAAGGCTGAGTCTATGTACCTTAACATGTTGGCATGTGAATCCTATTCAATATTACAATTTAGAACAAAGAAGAAGAAGTAATTATTTAAAAGACCAAATTCAATCTTTAAAAAAAATTAAGTCAGTAACATTTCTTTTTTTTTTACATTTTGTAGCAGATTGTTTTATTTATGTTTCTATAGTAACACGCACTTTTACCATCCTCTGTAAAGTGTAAACTTATCTTCTCATCTTTTTGGGGTTGGATCCTTTCATTAAAAAAAATACAAAAGCAGCTCTCAGTTTCATAATGCCCAGTTTCTCCATTGGTCCGTCCTAAGTCGTACAGTCATTTAGCCAGATCGACAGCATCTGACAACAACAAAATTATGATCCAGTTATTTACAAAATATTTGGCATATAGTTTTTGTAAACTGGGGGGGGGGACTTTTTTTTTGTAATGTGATAAATAAGAATAATAAGATTAAATAATAATATATTCAACGGTGTGCATCAGGCTGATAAGTAGGCTGTTATGTTTAACACTCCCCCCCCCTCGAACTTTTCAGTTGCACCCCCCTTTCAATTTGGCGCCCCCCCCCCAAGGTCGGCGCCCGGGGACATATGTCCCCCGCCCCGCCCCGCCCCCTCCCCTCGCTACGCCTCTGCACAAACACACACACAATTGATGTTCTTAATAAAGGTATCGGCCTATATTTTTAAAGAAGCACAACGTCTTACCGATGTCGGGAATTTTTTTTTTCTTAATCCCAGGCCTTGATGCTACCTCCCCCCCCCTCCCCCACCACACACAAACGACATTTCTATTTCTATTGTATTTAGCGTCAGAGTTTCTTCCAGGCTTCTCTTCGGTCTGGAAGAAACACCGTTGAGCGTACACATTAGTCAAACCACAAGCCCAACTGACCTTATGTCAGAGAGGGTTTCATGCAGGACCTTACATATGCAGTGCGACCTTCACAGACATTTTAAATACAACATATTTTTTTAAAAAAATCATTTGGTATTCTAGTTAATTCTAGATGCCCATTCACCACCCTCACATCCATTTCTAGGCATCCCCACAACAAATTAAGACAATTGTGAGCGTGGTATGCGTTTGTTGTAATGTCAGTCACGTCTATGTAGAGAATATCACTGGGTTAGACTGCGTTGACCTATGAGTGGTGACTAAGGTTAGGAAGAGAGTAAATAGTGCCGATATAATAGGAAGAGGGTAAATACGAAAAGTGCCGTTATATGCTCAACGAAATTAGATCATTAGTTTTTAACATGGGTTTGATCGAGCCCCAGGGATTCGGTAAGTCAGTCTCAAGGGTTTGGTGGAGGTGACGACACACTCACGACTCAAGTGATTTGCGGTCGGATTTTATCAGTGCGGACGATTGAAATAGCGGCCGATGCCAGTTCAAAGACGAAAGCACGACATGGTAATAAAGCAGAGGCGTAGCGAGGGGGGGGGACGGGGACATATGTCCCCGGGCGCCGACCTTAGGGGGGCGCCAAATTGAAAGTTTGAGGGGGGGGGGGTGCAAATGAAAAGTTCGAGGGGGGGTGCAAATCGAAAATTTGAGGGGGGGGGGGGTGCAAATGAAAAGTTCGAGGGGGGGTGCAAATCGAAAATTTGCTCCCGAGGGGGGCGCCAAATTGAAAGTATGTCCCCGGGCGCCGGGAAGGATCGCTACGCCTCTGTAATAAAGCGAGACCAGTGCGAGATAACACACATCGGTACCGTGATATATCGTGGAACCTTTGACGTCACGACACACATACGTCACGAAGCGTGTCAGCGCGACCTGTACAGCGTGTGTTGATTGTGTGTGTACTGTAGTGCTGTGACGAACAATTATATCCTGGCCAGTGTTTCTTCCAGACTTTTTTCTCCGGGAGGGGGAGGGGGGGGGGGGGGCTTGAAATTTTCGGGGTGGGGGCGGACTAAAATTTCCGAGAGGGGGCGGACACTGGTAAAAGTATATATTTTCTATATTATAAATTATATTTCTTTCGAGGGGGGGGGGGACTCCGCCCCTTCAAAGAGATGCCAGGAAGAAACTCCTGGCCCAGTGATACTATGTCGTGTGATTTCTTTCTTAATACTTCAATCCCTACTTACCAAGTAAATCGAGCAAAAACAGAAAATGGCCAGACAAATATGTATAAAAATAGATTCACATGTGTAATGGAGCTTGACCTGAGTCCGCATCATATAAACTGCATGATTTGCAGTGTTAAGTTGAGCAATTCCAGCCACCCGCCCCCCACCCCCCTCTCCGGAAGTTTCAAGCCCCCCTTTCGTCATCCCCGCCTCTTTCCCCAAAAATGTCTACTGAAGAAACCCTGACCTTCCCCTCCCCCACCCGCCCCCTCCGAATGCAGTGTAAAAACAATTTTATCGTCTATCTATAATTACGACAGTACCAAGCTATTAAATAATATGTAACCTTACCTTTTTGAGCTTGTGGTTTTATATTAATACAATCCTCTTCTCCGGGGGAAGATCATTTCTATCTACAGGATGGTATGTTCGGTGATGGGCAAGAAAACACTGACATCGCTGGTTCCCGTTCGGGCTTGACATGTTCGATCCCGGGGCCTTAAGGTTTAAATAAACATTCGTCTCCAGTGGTAGAACCGTCGTTTCTGCAGGGCGGTACATTTGGTTCCGGGCAAGGACACATTGGCATCGTAGGTTCATCTTCGGTCGGACGGAACTTAGAACTTATCGGTGTAGTTGACACGCTGGGCGGCGACATTTCTACACACGGAGGCCTGACGTACTCTTCAACCGTCATGGTCATAGGCGCGGGTTCGCTTGGCAGGATCGGCTTCACGCAGAGAGAGTTGTCGGTCATTTTTATTTTGCTACGTTAGATCTGCAACTTCGAATGTACGGTGCAGTGGATATCTTGACCAAAACGAAACAATATTTTTTTCCCTACCTAAAAAAAGAAACGCTGCTCTTTATGTTTCAGTTTTCTTGTTGTTAGAAATAAGTTAGATCTAACTGTAAACAGCTTTACGTGTTATTTATCCCGCCGGGAATCTTTCCGACATGTATACGGGAGATGGTTTTGAGGTGTGGCGTTGTTAATGCGGCTTTACGTCATAGAAACATGCTGTGTTCTAAATTTAGCGTTTATCGGTGCGCAAAAATTGGTACTAGAAAGAACGATGAATGCCGTGAATTATGTATGGGCCCATATTTCTTGATCTAGATATAGGTCATAGGTCACTACGCTAAAAATCAAAACAGCCTATCTCTCATCGCGAGACATTGTTTTATTTTAACCTTAAGTTTAAGTCTTCTTCTAACTTAAAAATGAAACGAACTAAAATAAATAGTAGCCTATGCGTAGCCAAATTTAAAATATTTTATTTTTATTTTGCTGCTTGTTAAATCTAGTGAAAGATGTGTAGGCCCTATTTATCATTAGGCAGAGTTTCTTCCAAGCATCTCTTCGGGGGGGGGGGGGGCAAAGAATGAGAGCAGACTTATTGGTTAAAACTGCTCTCATATGGACACCACAGGGCAAGAGAAAACGAGATCATTCAAAAGAAACATGGAGAAGATTAAAGCAGAAAGAGTTGAAGGAAAGTGGCCAAGTATTCTAAGATATATTGGCTATAGAGACGGGCGGAAATGGCGCTCACTTGTTGATTTCTTGTGTAGAAAATAAGCACTGAACGATGATGTTGATGATGCTAATGGTGATGATGATGACGATGATGATGGTGATGATGATGGTGATGATGATGATTTATCTAGAATCGCCTGTGTATATATTAATAAGAAGGAATTGGTATGGGTTGATTAAATTAATTATCACGAGCCGACCCGCTGCGTATCATACGCCGCTATTTAGTTGTTTTTTTTCTACTTTTCAGTAATTTATAATTTGTGAATTCGACAGTACCAATGCTGCCATTGAAAATATTTGCTTAAAAACACCCCCCCCCCCCCCCCCACGTGAAAGCAGCCTCCTCTTAGTTACCTCCTCTAAGTTTAAAATCGTTTCAAACTAAATTATCTGCCCCTAATAGCCGTCACCAAACCCGTCT